AGTTACAGTAAAATGTATGCCACAAAACCTCCATATAACGAACCCTCAATATAACGAACCAATTTCACAGGTTCTACTGTATCAAGGTTTTGTAGCATACATTTTACTCTAACTTTAGCCGGGCTGAATCTCAAAATATATAGCTAGTTCTACCGAGGACTTCCTTATGTAGAGGTTCGTTAAATCGAGGTTCCACTGTACACAAATGTATCTTATCCAACCTCACAGTCCAACCAAATACCTTCTTAGTTTTTCTTTGTCTTTATTAGCTGTTATTTTACATCCTGTAGATTCATGTTATGATAGGCACTGTTCTGGGCTTCAAGGACCTTTGTCTTGATGCTGTGTTCATTTTGGACCAAAAATAAGATATACGACCGCATTTGCTGGTAAGCAGCATTCCCTCATGTACACTTGTTTTTGAGCACACGTTTTAATCTTATTTAGACTATTCCATTACCGCTGGACAAACGTAGCAACTACCGACCACAAGGATTTCCTATGAAATGATTTATTCAAAAATGGAAGATAAAAGAAATGGATTTTGACACAGCATTCCGGTCATATTTGGGGCGTTGCAGAGTTGGTTTTACAGCCTCGAAAAATACAAAATGACCCAAAATACTATCAGAGATACAAGCGAAAAGACAGACAGACGTTAATGTACCTGGAGGGTAAACCCTTGTGCGGTTGAAACCACAGCTTTACAAAATATCTCTGTGCCTAAACTCTTTGTAAAGGCTGGGTTTGACAAGCTGACCGCGTGCGTCCGAGACGAGAATAAAGAACAAAGCTAACTATGGTGTAACGTGATCTAAAACATCTGCAGATTTGATCGGAAAAGGTTGATAAGGTCCAGCGTTTTTATCAATGTAAACTCAACAAACTGAGATTCTTAAATCGTTTGAAGAATATACGAACATGGCGTTTATTGATGGTGGGGAAAAAGCTATTGAGCGGCACATAAAGAGGAACAAAAAGCTGTTAGCTCGAGAGAGACTCAGTAAACTGTTAGATGACGGAACTGACTTGCTTGAGTTGTTCCAATTTGCTGGACTTGATCTTGAGTATGGTCACGTGCCCTGCGCCGGGGTAGTTACAGGGATTGGAAAGATTGCAGGACAGTTGTGTGTTCTTATTGTCAATGATTCAACAATGAAAAGTGGAGCCACTTATCCTTTTGCAGTTGTCATCCTCAATTCCATTTGACGACAAAAACAGAAAGAAAACTGTCAGGCACCTCGCTTATAGCCTAGTCGTGATATGACTTTTTGTGTGTGTTATTTGTTACTTTCTGTGTATGTTTCCCTTTCTCACCCATTCCTCCAATCGACAGATTTAACGTTGCTCTGGTAACCATGAGAGTCAGAAAAACTTTTCAACTGGAGTTTGCAGTTACATGTACATGGCTGTACTTATAAATTTGGTTTTGGTTTTCAGCTTGCGTAGTCAGTCATGTATCAGACGAGTGTTGCAAAAGAAAGTAATTTTCATTTTCGACACCTTCTGAGGTTGTGTTTTGAAAGAGCCCTCTACTCAGTGACAGATCTAGCTAGGTGAAAGAATTAGGTTTTTCTCATATACTGTACAATATTATTTGTATAATTTATTTTATTTAAAGAATAAAAAGGAGATTACGGAAGGACATCAGAGGCAACTGGATTATAGAGAAGTATGTTCGGGTCAATAAAATTTNTCTCCCCTTGAATTTCTTCATTCGACGAAGGAGTTCAAAACTTACTCTCTTTATCTATTTTCAGACATGACGCTTTCGACATTGACTCGTGTTTCATATGAGCCAGGTGCATGTCTGTGGATCTATGGTAGAGCTTCACATCGTAAAATCCGAAGTTCAGAGGCTCGAATCCTCAAGGAAAACTCAATATGTCTCTTTGTTATCCAACTACACTCCGTAGAGTACAAATAACGCCATATACGAGTACAAATATCACGCTGTATTTGTACTCCAGAGAACCGGTTAAACAGGTTTTCTCGCATCGCGCAGGCGAAGAATTAGATTGAAGTAACGAAAAAAAATGGCTGGAAAATATAGATCCAAGTTTATTAGACGAATCGAACAAAGAAAAACAGCTAGACGACCAAGAAATTTCTTCATTTATCGAAGAAATTAATAAACGCGGTAATTGCGTTCCGCGGCACTTCGCATACTTGCGTCACGCACTCCCCGTAAATAAATATCCTTGAAATTCGCCCGCACTGAAATAACAATTTGGCGTGTTGGATAAGAAATAACTTATTGGACGTTTTGTTGTGTAGCATCGCTGAGTATTTTTACTCGTTATTTGTATTTTGACTGGCCCTACGGGCTTGTCAAAATACGCTTATGACGAATAAATATTTTCCTTTGATTTTTTTGTCTTATATTTAACTTATTTCAACCTATATGTTTAATCACTACCCGCTTAACATTGTATATCTCTTATATCCTAACTAACTAATTCAGTTCTCACCTTAACTCTTGTGAAAATGTGATTTTTCCCGCAAGTGTGTAACAAAATGGTTCACTCGGTAACACGAGCAGTTTTGATGAAGCTGAATACTATTATAAGCATGACGAAGTCGGCAGAAACCGAAAATTATGAACTGTTTCTTTCGACTCATTCGTAATTCGAGTTTATTTTGCGGCTATGCCATTTCACTATTTATCTGCCAACTTGGACTCGGACGTCATATTTCAGCCTTTCATTTTCATAAATCTGAAGATGGCACAACTATGTTAATCTTCATCCTTTTCAATTTAATTTTTTTCGCTAGTGTGGCTGGTCGTTAAGAATCAAGTCTTTCCAAAGGTTGTATTGAGAGCGTGAGCTCTAAGTGTAAAATCAAGATTTATTTCAGAAATAAAATCGACCAAAACTAGCCTTTCCGTTGCTATCGTCTCACTTGAAAAGAAGTGTATGGGGTGGTCTATTCTCCTCGGCCCTGCTTCACGCGCCTCTTCATTGCACGCGGTTGGACTCAAAGGAAACGCCCGATGTATAAATTCGGCTCCGTTTTTTCTTCCTTTTTTTTTCTTTTTTTTTTTTGCGTTCAGTAACAAAACGCAGTTCCACTACAGCGCATGCGTGAAGTGTAAGCGTATGGTTTAAAGCAATGGCTGCCTGCGTGGACAATTCCTGCCTTGATGTACGCAAAAGAAATTCGATGGCTATTACGCTTAATATACATACAAAGTCACACACCGTTCGCGGTAGACCCACACTAAAGCTTGTAGAGGGTTTTGGGAACGGGTTGGTCCGCGAACTGTCATTGAGACACTGCCATCTATCAAAACACTTGGCGTTAAACTTGATACCATGTTATCTTTCAAGGATCACATTACTAAACAGCTGCAAAAGGTATACGCTAAAAGTGGCGCACTCAGAAGAATTAGGCGTTTTGTCCCTGGCAATGTTAGGTTAAGGCTCTATAAAAATTCTCCCTCATTTTGTACAAATGCATCTTGGCTGTTTCAGTGACTTATAGTTACTAGAGCCGAGATCATCGTTAATACTCTCAGGCTTGTTTTATATAATTCATTAAAAAAGAGGCTTGTTTCATAGAATTCATTAAAAAAGAGATGTACATACATTTACATGTATTTCAGCAATTTCTGGTTTTTCTTTTTACTATTTTTTTTATTTGGTTAAGCGTCAGTTAGAGCAGAAGGAAGTTGAAGAGGAAGGAGAAGATATTCGACAATTTTCTCAAGCTAAAAAGGTACTTAAGTCTTAATGAGGAGCTCAAATTAAAATTTACCTGTGTTTTTGTCCTGTGTTTTTCTTTTTAAAAATTCGAACTCTTCTTGTTTGTCCCTTTAAAGGTTGAAACCCTTCAATAACAGTTTTTCAAAATTCTTGCCTTCACTAACTTATAGTTGGTAACTAACTTACTTTATCTCCAGTTTTGGTGTGTGTTTGCTAAAGTAGTGTTTCTGGTCTTTTGCAACTGTAGAAAATGGCAAGGATGCGTAAAGAGAAGGAGAGTGAAGTGTTCAGATAACGTATGTAAAGTGTAATTAGCATGTGAACGGACTTCTGAAGGTCGAAGATAAGGTGAATGGTAAAAATTGCTGTAT